TGGCCGACCTCTCCTGACCCACCCGCTGCTCCCCTCAGCAGTGTACTTCGTCGATCTGCCTGTTCTGCTCTCCAGTCTGTCTCTGTGAATCCTCTCACCCTCCACATCTCTGGCCTGTACTCCAGTTCTGTATGAATGGATAAATCTTTAAAAAAAAAAAATGAGATGCAAAACTAAGAACCCTAAAAGAGGGTCACCTGAGTAAGGCGCCCTGAAATTTAAAGGTAATTCTGCCCCACATGAGTAATGCAAATGTCTCCTGACTGCTAGGCTGGGACTCCCTGGTCACCAGAATTAACCACAGGTATTCACAAAAGAGCAGACCCAGAATAATCTAGAAACACAGCTCTTGAGATAGAGTTGAGAGCCATAGAAGCCCACAGATGGAGTGTTGAATGAGGTACCCCCAGATTTGGCCCAAGTGTGAAGTGCCTCAAGCTCCACAGTTGTCCCCAAACAACACTTTAAAGACACCTTTCGTCACTGTCTTTTGTACTCAGGGATGTTGATGCCTAATACTTTTTTCCTCTCAGTCCATATGCTCCCCTTGGGTGTTCCCAGACCAACATTTCCCACCTGTGCTCTGTGACTTGACACGCTCCTTCCCTCCCACTCAGCCACCCCTCCTGAGGTATAGCTTCCATCTCATGTAAGTTCGAAATAATCTCCCTCCCTGTATGCCCACAGCAGTGCTTGCTGAATCCGCAATCTTCCAACTTCCTCTCACCTTCTTAATCTAAATATCATGCACACTCTAGGTAAGTGAATCAAACATCAGGAGCCTAATTACGGCACCCTTGCAATCCACTGTCCCCCTGCACTGGAACATGTCCTCTAGCGATCTACATGAGCCAACACTGTCTCTTGGGTTCCCGTCACCCTGGTCTCTTTGCTGTTCCTCCAGTCAAGTCTACTTCAGTACCGTAGCCCTGGCTGCTCCCATGCCAGGAAGACACCTCCTGCAGGCCTGTGCCCAGTGTCACCAGTCAATGAGTCACCTAAACAGATCTTGTAGAACTACTTTTCCTATGCATTAATTTTGATTTTGTGATGATCTAGTAATTACTCATCCTCTCACTGGCATGCAGAATAGTTCAGTAATAACTGTTAACTTAGCAGGACAAATAAAGACAAGAAGCTGTGTAATAGAAGCATAGGCAGGCGCTACTGTGTCCACTTAAGGGGGCTGCGTAGCCAGATCCCTCTATGTCAGTGACTGAGTGCACAAGCACCTTGAAGTTAACTTGAGACAGTGACTTGGGTCTTGGGCTGGGTTTAGAGCAATCCAATTCCAGTGCTCTCCGAACGGAGCTATGATTACCCTGTCCGTTTAGCATTTATTCTACTTTACAGTTCTTATCACACCCTCGTGACAAAGAATCTGAATGCCAAAACCAAGATATTGTGTTAAATTCTCTAGGAACTAAACATCCATAACATTTGTGAAAATGTGACTGGCAAAAGGTGTGATGTTGCAACTAAATCTGGGATGAACGTTATTTTTGCTTTTGCAATCAGCCCTCAATTTTCAGAATTATGAAAGCAAACCCAGTTTAGATCTAGCTATGAAAATGCTAGAGCCTTAAACCAAGAATTGCATATTTAAGACCAGAATCAAGCAAATGGCCAAGCAGATGGACATTTAAATCAGTAAGAATTCTGGGGGACATGTGGGAGGAATGAAAAAAATGGAGAAAATGAAAAGACTGCAGAAAATCATCCCTTACTCCCTTCCTCTGGCCCCTAGAACTCACCTATTATCTTGCCACAACTTGCAAAAATAGGGAGAAAAGAGCTTTAGAATGAAGAAAGAGCTCAGTGTGAGGTCTCAGTATTTCTTTTGACCTTGGGACTAAGAGCCAGTCTTACCAATCCATTCACGGGCATACAGAATAGTTCAGTAGTAGCGGGGAAGTTACCAGGAAGTTAGCCGTGGCCAGTTGGCCTCCTGGCTTCTTGCTAACTCTCAGTTCGAAATCGCACTCATTTCATGACGTAACAGGCGATAGATACCCTCACTGTGCAGCTGTGTGAGAACGGACACAGCGCCAGAAGGCTCTGGCACTCTGGACCATCTGCTTCTGCCCACATGTCCTGTCCCTGAGTTCCCCCACCCCACCCCTCCAACTATGCCCATGCCCCCCCCCCCACCAAGTGCGGGCCAAGGACCAACAAACAGCGCCGCTATCTCCAGGAGCTCATTAGAAATGCTGACTCTCAGGCCCTGCCCAGAGCCGGGCCGGCCCGGAAGTGTGAGCTGCGCGGCTCCAGGGGCCCCGATTGCCACCAGCGACTGCCCAGAGACACAGGGACAGCGCTCATGGAGCCGCCGCCCTGCCTTCGGCCTGCGCGAGGCCTGGCGCCTTGGAGGGGCACGCAAGCCTCGCCAGGCTGCCCAGCACCGGGCCTCGTGCACTGGCGGGTGGGCGGGCGGGGCGGCCGGAGCGGGCCAGGCCAGCTTTCACCCTTGCTGCGCACTGCTGGGGTCACCACTGACGCCAGGGGAAAACTACAGAGACTTGGTGCCCTCATGTCGCTTTCAATTTAGAGACAGTTTAGGGGCGAGGCCGCCCAGGCCCTCCCGGAGACGCGAGACACCGCCGACTCCCTCCCACCGGAGGCCTAGCAGGGCTGACTACGCCCGCCTGCTGGTGAAACAGCCTTTACCGCGAGCCAGGCGGCTGGGAGAGCAGTGCGGCGATCCTCTCGCTCTCTGGAACGTTCCTGCGCGGCACGCGGCCATCCTGTGAGGATGAGAGATAATCCCGGACTAGGGGAGAGGTGGCGCGAGCTAACTGCCGCCCGCAAGGCGCACGGGGACGAGGCGTGGGGATGTATAAGGGGACGTGCACGCGAACTCACACGGGGACGTAGCACGCGACGTTAGCACAGCGACGTAGCATGGGCACGCAGCGTGGGACTGTTCAGGAGGACGTGGGCGTGGCGACGTACACGGGTGGCAGCGCTTTGGCCCAAGAAATGATTCTCGTCTAGCAGGGATATCGCGAGATTTCATCTCGCTACTCCAAGTGGCGGCCGATTGAAAACTTCAGTGTTTATCTTTGGAGCCTGCGGTCTAGTAGTTTCAAACCCGGTTTGACTGCAGGTAACTGAAGTTGCAGAAAGCAAAAGCACAGAAAAGGAGCCGACAGTAGCTTGAATGTGTACTAAGGATTTGTCTCAAGAGTACCTGCAAGAATTTGGTTCAAGCCTAAGGCAAGCAGAAGCTGAAAAAAGAGGGGTCGCTCTCCAATTGCATTGCTTAAAAACATTTTTAAAGCTGTTCTATGGAAGTTTCGTTTCATTAAGGTATAAACAGGATGTCCCCACATTTCTGTGTTTGATATTTATCTGTTGATATCCCTGGAAAGGGGTATCAAATCCCTTAACACCAGCTTGTAGATTCCATAACTAGTGAATATATTAAACATACCTAAATTGACATCTGCACGCCAGTTAAAATGAGAATTGTTTAAACAAGTCTTGGACAATGGGAAGGTTAATTTTGGAAAATTCTGTCATTTCTAGTTACATAATACTGTTGTAAAATAGGAACTGGTTAAAGTAACATGCTTCCTTAATCTACAACTTAAGAAAGTGAATGGTGGTGGATGGCTGTGGACATTCTCTTCTGCCTGTCCCCCACCAAAGACCAGGCATAGGGGGCTTCATTTGCAGTGAGGACAGTTTCTGGCACCACAGTCAGTGGTTGTCAATAAACGTGCTGAGAAAGGTATCTTTGACAAACTCGATCTTAGAGGCAAGGGCCCCTGAAGTGCTAAGCAAAACTAATAAACCAAAAAATGGCAAACCAGGCTAACTGCACTTGTTCAAATGTTTGGAGTTGACAGCAAAATCGAGTGAGACATCAGCTTTTATAAATCGGTATTTCTTGCTTTTTTGTGTGTGCACTGTGCTATGGGATGACTTATAATCTACATCCAGAGGTGATTTGTGTTGTTCTCGCATGGGTTTTCTGAAGCCTTTGGACGAGAATCTGATCCAGAACTTACTGAAGTATTTTTAATACACCTTTATATGACTATCACCCTTAAGAACTGCAAGATTTGGCAGTTTGGAAAAATAATTTAAATACTGACAAAAGGAAAATCGTGTAATTTTTATAAGACTGGTTGAGACATTTAGTCACATTGTCAAATGATGAATTATTTGAAAAAGTATTAGTAATACACAATAAAAGGATAATATTTTGAACAGTTTTTTTTTTTAAATTCTAAGTGACAAATGATCAGCTATTCAGGAGTTGTGATTAAGAAATAATTTGGGGGAAAAATGATTTTTCATTATTGTAAACTCAGGGCATATAACTATATAAATGTTCCAAGAGACAGTCTCTGTTTCACTAGGACATTTAGCAAATGGATGCTTGTTATTTTCATCTTTTCTTTCTGGGGCCATAATTACCGATTACCCTTTCTAGACGGCTCAGAGCATACTGTAGGTGCACTGGCCTTCAGCAGGCACTGTATAAACCGAGTTGCGATGACATCTAGCACAGACCCCTCCCCCGAGTCCCACTTAGCAACAAAGTGCACTTGGATGGTCTCTACTCCAGCTTAGAGCCCCTAATTATCATTGGTCAGTGTGTCCAAAAGACATTTTATGGAAACAGCTAGAGTGTCCCTTATCCCTGACCAGTGATGGTCAGAGATAAAAATCAACTGAGAGGGATTACAAGAAAAGGTAGATGCTATATTCATGGCTTGTAGGGTATCATCGATAGCTCAGGACAAATGTGTGATCCCGCCCAGCCCAGAGTATAGCTACAAGACAGTGAACAGCTGTATTCACTTCCAGGAACCACCTTCCAGTCAAGCCACCGAGTGAGGCCAAATCAAAGAAGAAAACAAAAGGCCTTGACAAAAAAGGCACAAGGGTGAACCAACAGGAAACAAAAAGTTGTGAGTCAAGAGGCTGACTTCCTGTTTTCCTGCAATAAAGAGGGCAATGCCAGAGTAAAAATTTCTCTCCTGGTTCTTTCAAACAAGACAGGCAATGCTTTATTTGGACCACCAAAAATAACATTTAACAGAAAGAGAACCATAACATTACACAACAAAGTATAGCTGTGCAATCTCAAACAAGGCGGGCAACACTTTATTTAGATCACCAAAAATAAGGTTTAACAGAAAAGGAACTGTAAGAAGCAAATGTATAGCTGTAAATTTTCTTTTACCATCAGCATCAACTCCCTCTAAGATATTTTGGGACTCTTGCAGTTTCCAAGCAGAACTAACATTTGTTAGACAGAGCTCCAAAACTGTAAAACAGGTTTGCTTAATGCTAACAAATAACTGTACAACGGGTTATTGCTAACAAATAACTATAATGTCTACTCAAACAATCTACCCTACACAAGAACGTTTCACTGTCAACAAAGCTGCTCTTTTTCTGCCATGACAGACAGATGCAGGGACAAGAGTCAGACGTGGGAGCCTATTCAGGCTCCAAGGAGGCAACCCTTAACACAAATAACCTAGAGTGTGAACAAACTCAAATAAATGGGCCTGTCTCTGCCAGAGGGCCCTACTCCTCACCCCAGGGTGGTCATCCCACCTGCTCTCTCACTAAAGGCCCACCAATTCCAGCTCTCGCTAGGAACCCGAGTACAAAGCTGGAAAGAGCAGCTGTTCTTCCAGAAGCTTGCAGCTTCAATAAATGGCCCTGGGGTTCTTGGTGCTGTAGTGCGCCTCACAGGCGGCCACATAGGCAGACTCAGGGAAGAAGTCATCATGGTATTCTGCTAAAAACCTGGAAAAAGAAAGAAACAGTCCCAGTGATTATCACAGTAGCTTAAAATCAGTAAGCAAATTCTTGTAACCATGCTGACATTGCACTCTTTCATTACATGAGGAAGAAGACAAACTGGATATGGTCTTGATTTCTATTTACTGAGTAGATATGATGAAAAGACCTGGCTGCCATGCTCATTACTATTTCCTGGAACCCTTCACCAGCATCAGTTCTAGAAACAGAACCTAAACGCCACTAGGTGGCAGCCTTGACTTCATAAGCACTTTGATGCCAAAAGAGGACTCTACATTTTCCTGTTCTAACAACAAAGTATAAAAAAAATAATAAACCCCAAAATACCACTTGAAAAATAGAAAATGCTTATACAGGGGAGGGTAAACCAAAATGGGATGGGATAACGGGGAGATAATTCCGGGCCCTAATTTGCTACACTAAAAGGCTTCACTGGTCCAGCTTACAGTGACCAAAACATCCACCAAGAAGGCAGCCTCTGAGTGCTGAAGGGCATTTAAATGGAGTCAGTCATTCCAGAGTGTGCAGTACACGTGACGCTGAAGTGTCGAGAGATTTCACCACGGAGGGCCAGAATATTCTCACACAGGCCAAGCTAACCACTGCACTAATTATTAGCTTCATGTTTGTCTCCCCGGTCTTCTACTTGTCCAAATTCCTAAAAATGATAGATCAGTCTCTGCAACAGCCCCGTCAGTAAAAGCGCGTCTTCCCTGACCGTGACACCCTTCAGGCAATACTACTGAGTCCACCGACCTAGACGATGTCTTTGAAGCTATTTCCAAAACCAACTTCCGTACTTGCATGTGACTGTAGCTTACCTCCTAACTCCACTTCTTACCCCTATTTGGGCACACCTCAAAATCAGAGGTTCCCAGGCTAACATGCAGCTATCTCTTCATGTTGTATTGGTGTGACTGGATTTGTTTACAAAGTCTGTATGCCAAATAGCATTGAGGAGTTGGAGAAGGAGAGGAAGGGTGGGAAGAGGGTGTTTCTGAAAGCTGCTCATAAGAAAGTGTTACAGTGTCTGATTCCACTCACAGAAACTGCACTCAAAATGCTGACATGAAAGTATCGGCAACTCCAGGGCTGTTCCTCTGGCTGGGGAACTCTATACGCTGTGGAATCCTGCTTGCTCAGCTCTGCGGGGTGGGGCCTGACTATAAGGAAAGGCACCCCTTAAAGAGAAGGAAGGAACATGATGCGGCAACCAAGATGAACTGGGTGTGGCAGGAAGACAGGCAGCCTTGAAGGCTAAGGAACTGGGCAACAGACGTCTAGAGGGGAGCGGGGCAAGGCCACGGCATAAATGAGGCTGGGCGGGCAGGCAGAGGGCACAGCCTAGCGCAAGGGGGCCTGTGGTACAGTAAACTGACTCGCCAAGCCAGCTGGGAACACGTTTCTCTGAATTCACAAATTATCAGCACAGACCAGTCGTCATTTATCTTAATCCAAAGTAGACACCAAACTCCGGCCTGTGAATGCTAACACTTACGCAGCTGATGGGCATGCAACAAAGAAAAGTCCGATGCTTAGGGAGGGTACTGCTGAATAAAAAATGTCCAATTAAATTACTATCATTCTTAATTGCCTCTCCTATGGGACATTACTGGATAAATTATGGAAAAAACAAACACCAAAAAACCCTCATTAGACAGAAGTCTCCATACTTAGGGAGCACTGCGATCATGCAGAGCAGGAGTCACACCCGCAGCAGAAGTAGGTTTTGACAAAGTATCGAAATACCTCAGAAAGAGATCAAAGTGCTTCAGCAAAGCCTTCAGATTCTTCTCAGAAAAGGACATCTTTCCAAGGATTTCTGGAAGTTTTACTGTGATAAAAAATAAAAGCAAAACCATCCATAATCAGAAGAACCTGACAATGAATAAGACACACCCAGGCAGCATCTGGGTCTCTGTTTATTTTTATTTGAACTGAAACTCACATCTACATTATCAAACAAAACCCAGGATTTTTGCTGCTCAAAGACAGAGTGGCTGTACAAATGCCACAAACACAGTTCCTATGACATTTAATAGCCATCTAGTGCCCTTTTCTTTGATGCAGTTACCCTTCCATGGATGTACATATACTAACAAGAGACTTAAAACTGAAACCAAAACAAGAGGAAAAGATCTCTTACCAAACAATCGCAGCAAGTGTTGTGCCCCATAAATATAAGAGGGTGGAGGCGGCTGGTCACTTGGGGGGTAACTGTCAGGCACGAGTTTCCAGGAGAGGACCTAGGGAAAATGCGGATTGAATGCCTTGTTGTTAGAGTTTCACTGCGGGCGCCAGCCCAGGACACAGAAGAGTACAGTTTCTGTTGAAGAGGATCAAGCTACAAAGAATATTCAATTCGATCCTTGCATAAAAGTAACCACATAACATAATGTAATTATTATGTAACAGAATGGGAAAAACATTTTGTTTTTGCCATGGAAATTGGCCAAACTGTTCCCATGACACTGTGTATACCAAATGCTGACTTTGTTTCTTAGTGGTGGGGTTATAGCTTAGCCCGCAGCGGAGCAGCTATGTGTTTTCCATATAGGTTACATGTCTTATACTGGTATTAACATATGTATCATACTTTTCTTCCGTAATTTTTTTTTCCAGAACACTGGGGCCTCCCTGGTGGCACAAGGATTAAAGTCTCATTGCTATCAAGCTATCTCCAGCCTGAGTTCCATCCCCGGCCAGGGAGTGAGTGGCCTATAGGGCGCAGCAGACCTCTCCTGTCTCCCAGTCACTCCCCTCAGCAGTGTGTTTCAGTGAATCCGCCTGTTCTGCTCCCCACTCTGTCTCTGGTGCAACCTCGCAGACCCACACACCTCTGTCCTAGACCCCAGTTCTTATATGCATAAGTAAAATAAATCTTTAACTTTTTTTTTTTCCAGAACACTTTTGCCTTTTAAAATCCTTGGCAATATGGAGACCTTCTATTCACCTGAAAATTATGAACTGACCTGTATGTAGAGAAAATTCTCCTAATCAAAATAAAAATAAGCTTACAGAATAGACAAAAGGGGGAGAGGACAACCTTGAGGAAACATTTCTGGATCCTTAACAGCTGCTACCTATACATTGGCAGTGACGGTTTTAGCCACATCACCCCCTTTCCTTTTCCTAGAAGCCTTGTTTTCACAGCAAGACTGAAGTGAGCATACTGGGACCGTAAACCCTGAGCACACACCCACATGTGACACAGGTGACGCGCCTGCCTGTCAGCACAGTGTACCACCGCCTATATTTCGCAATAAACGGGAGATGGTAAGGGCTCTAGAGGAATTCCCAGTGGGATGTGGGTAGGAGCCGCCTCTGCATCTTCAGCAGAAACCCGCATGTCCAGTCCCTCCCCTGACGCAGCGGGGCAGCAAAGGGCATTGGAAGACAGGCTCCAGTGGCCGACATGCAGAGCTCGGATGCACACGCACAGCACACATACAGGTACTTCACATGCACAGGGGTCTGCTCAAGCACCCATGGAGAAATCCCACTCTGGCGAGAGCGTGCAGCTGTACGTATAACCACCAGATGGCCAGTTCGCACAGCTGACCAGAGTGGGAACGATCCTCCTGGAATCGTTCCCACAGTCCAACAGAAATGTGTTCCCCTTAAACAACACGTCTATGGCCCTGTGTGAAAATGGGATGTCAGGGGATGCTTGGACCAGAGAGCTCCTAGCTTTCCCTCAATGTTACTGCAACATAAATCCAGTTTCCTAGTCTCTCTAAGGGGTCAGCCAACTGCAGCCCTTGGGCTACTCTGGCCCACAAGCCTAAAATATGTGCTCTCTGGTCTTCTGCAGAAATTGTACACCAGTGCCTATTCTAGAAAACAAAAATACACTGCAGTAACTGCACTCATTTAAGACAAAAGATGACTGTCAGAGTAGGGCTGGACTCCTAACGATTTTCTTACTTAGAAACTAAAAACGCAATGAATGCTGCAGTGTCATGTGAACAGTTCATTTCCACAGCAAGAGCAACGTGATGCTTCTAAGGAAGCTTGCTTTCCTCCCACAAGACTGCAGCCATCAGAAAAGGGCTCGCTATGGATGAATGGCAAACATTAATGCTTCACCTCGTTTATCTCATTAGTTCTTCTGCCTTCGAAGCCAGCAAACACAGCACTCCCCTCCTTGCTAGGGGTCAGGGGGACGGGTGAGGAGGATCGGCTATGCACAGGTGTCTCTGCAGAAGGAAAGATGTCAATGATTTACTGTAAATCACAGAACTAGGGGCCAAACACTGTCAGAACACCGGTATAAACAACAGAAAGATTATTCATCTTTTAGAATAAAACTTTCCTATTGTAAAAGACAGTATCTGGAATATTACTTGACCAAAATAAATCAAGAGCTGGTGAGGAAGCTTCAAACATGCTAAGTGAAAGAAGTCACACACCAAAGCCCACAGAGGCATATGGCATGAGGCATGTGAATCCATGCCCAGCAGCAGCAAATCCACTGGGTCAGGGAGTCACAGTGGTTGCATGGTTGCCCAGAGGGGCAGGTTAGGGCTGGGGGGGTGGAGAACTTGCTAGGCCTGCAGGCACCAGGCGTCCCCCTGCATGGCTGGAGCCTTGGCGGCGGCCCTCTCTCAAGCCTGGGCTGCTAGGGCAAAAGCCCCATGAGCCTTGCTTCAGGTCAGGCTCCTGCACCAAGTTCCCACAGCTGGGAGGGCAGATCTGGGGTCGACCTGGTCTCCCCAGCCCCTCTGCCGACAAGACACTTCAGGAGCAGGGCACAGGGCGTGGGCCATAACAAGTGCAAAGAACCCACTGCCCAGAAGGGGCCTACTCTTCTCCAGGTGCAGGAACAGCTTGGGCATGCTGGCTGACGTGTCCTGCTGCCGACGCTTCGGCTGAGGCGAGGCACTGCTCTCGGAAAGCCGGTCGCAGTTGGCGGAATGGCGTGTGGACCGCCTCAGAGACTGCAAGGCTTCAGGCTCTGCTTTGCGCCTCTTTGGGGTCGCCGGTTCCCCTGTGGTGGGCTGGCTCTCGGTGGACTGCGGTGTAGATGGGTTCAACAGTGGTGGGCTCGGTGAGAGCTCCTCCTGGTTCCTACAGAAGAGGGGAGAGCGCTGCACATACCCAGCCTGCACAAGACCTGGACGCCCGCCTTCTCTTCAGATGGGACAGAAAACATAGTCTCAGCTCCACTGCTGGGGCATACATTTTCATATCCAGATGTGCCAGAACAAGTTTCGCTTACACAGAGCAAGCTAGATGCATTATTTAAACCTTCTCAAGAACTCTGGGAGGCATACTAGCACTGAAGATGGCGAGTCTCTTTTGTATTTGGCTGAGAAGGGTTCTCAGTTGTGTATGGACCATCCCGTACGGGACAGTGGCACCATCTGAGCTGGTCTAGGTTGTCACACTGGGGAAGTGCTACTGCCATCTGTGGGTAGAAGCCAGGGAGATGACTACTCAGTCTACACTGCACAGGACAGCCCACTGCCACCAAGGAGACGTGCAAGTTGCTAGCTGGAAAGAGGGTGAGAAGCCCAGGCGCAGAGAGAGTGTGCCACGCAATCACAGCACAGTCCAACTACTGGCAGGATGTGAAAAGCCACAAGTGTTGGGCAGATGGTGTAGAAACACAGTCCACCTGACACAAGGACCTCGAGACAGGGCAGGATGTGGACACAGTCCTGAGTGATGTGCACAGGCCTCTCACTTGAGTTGAAACCAAGAAGAAAGCAGGCAGGCTGAGGAGAGAGGGTGGCGGGTGGGAAGGCAGGGACAGGGAAAAGGGAGAAGGCACAAGGGGAAGGAGACAACGCAGAGCTGTGTGTGAGCAGTGGTCAGGGCCTGGTGCGTGGTGCATAAACGCAGAGGGGAGCTGGCAAGAGGAGCCGGCTGAAGAAGTCATGAGAACAGATCGCTCTCTCAGGAAAAGACATGAGGGAGATAAAGAAGTATCTTCTAGAGAGGAAGGGATAGATTTCTGGTTAGGGGATAACCCCCTCTTCCCCAAATAGAGATCTGAGCACGCTCAGTCAGTCACCCGGGGAAGAAGGTGGTAGGAAGGAAACTAACTGTTACTTGAAGCCAAAGGCAGTCAGCCCTTGGCAAATTTTCTCACTTAACCACCTCCCAAGGAGGCATCGCACAGAGGCAGAAGCAAGCTCAGGAGGCCCCACGCCCAGTGAAGGGAGCTAAGGTGAACCTCCTTCTGTCCCCTCATGCTGGCTCTCTGGGCTTGCTGTCTTAGGAAAGAGAGGACTAGCTGCGAGTGCTCCACAGTGGCATCTTCACTTGGTAAAGGCCTCAAAGCCTTTAGGCCCTGGCTCACCTAAGGGAAAAGCCCACGAGCAGGGGCACTTGGCAACCTCTCTGTCTCCAAACATGCTGGCCCACAGCAGCACAAGGAAACCTTTGCAAACTATGTGACCCTGACTCCTGAGGTCTATGCCAGCTAGCCGGCTTACCTGTTAGTGCTTGTGGCGCTCTCCTTAATTGGAAGAAAAAATTTGGATGAAGTCACCTTTTTATACTGAACTTGCTCATATGGATAGAGCAAAACCAGCGGGAGAGTGTAGTCAAAGGTTATTCTTAAGCCATCCACCATCTCCTTGCAAAGATCAACACTGAGGAATAAAAAGAAAAGATGAGAGATGCACTAAAGTGGATGTCTTCCAGAACATCCTGTTTGAATAAACAGACACTAGTATCATACCTACACGTGTAAAGGACGGCATGAATGCGTGGGTGCTAACAGCACAGAATTCAGAGGAAACAGGCCTACAGTATGCCCTGCAGCGGTGCTGCACCCATGTTAAGGTGCCCAGTGAACACAAGTGAACACGCTCAGGGCCAGCAAGGCGCCGGGAGGCCTTGCCCCGCCGGTGGACAGACACCCACCGAGAGCTGCAGTGACAGCCTCAGCAAGGCGCCCAGCACTTGCTTCACATCTGACAATCGGCCTAACTGCACTGCAGCTAGGGCACGCGAGCACGGCAAGCTCGGAGGACGATGGCCCTGAGTGGAACAAAGAGTTGACTGTCAACAAGCTTCAAAACGATTATCATTCACTGATTCCGGTGCTTCTCAAGGAAAAAGTTATCTCCCTAAATGCCATCACTGGAAAAAACGGATGATGATGTTAAAGCAATGCACACCCTCAGCACATCCAGACCAGACACTAAGCAGTTCCCGAGTATTTAAAAAGGGACAAAACTTTGATATTAAATGGATAAGCAATAGGTCACTCATTAAGTGACATAGTCAGTGAATTCCAAATAGAGGAAATGGAGACAGTGTGAACAGTTTCTAAGTGCAAGTCACTTTTCCACTATAGCAAGAGCCTCGAACACCACTTCCTCTCCCACGCGACTTACTTCTTTTCTGCTGGGACATAATGCACATTCATGTTGGCGTGTTGCATGACATGGTGGTGACGAGGCCTCTCGTTGGCTGAAAAGGCTGCATTGATAGCAAAATGTTTCACATAGGATTCCAAGATAGTTATGATGTTGGTCTGACATGGAAGCTTCACTAACTGTTAACAAAAACAGACACCTGATGTCGGCACCCAGTGTCCACACCACAGTCCAGTCACTATCAATTCCTTTACTCAATAATAAAGCCGATTGTCTCCAAAGAGAGTCTTCTAAAGATGCCCTGAGGCTCTTTTGCTTCCTTTCCTACTGCTCACTACCCTGCCTAGATCATGGCATTCATTCTTTTTAAATGGAAACGCTGCTGTTCATCTTTGCCACCCAGCAGAATCACCTGGGGAGCCACAAAATTTATATGCACAAGCGGCCCCCACCACAGACCAATCATGTCCTAGCTTCTAGGCTGAGGACGGGCCATCAGGATTTTCCCAGGCTCCCTAGAGCCAGGGCTGGAAACCTGACTCTGCAGAACGCCAGCTATTTCACTCCTTCAAGTTCTTCAATTGTATGAGCCTGTGAGTAAAGAGGATGGCTAAGCACAAGCTCTATCACAAGCCCCCCGCTTTCTGTGCTCCCCTGTGTACCCGCTTCCTCCTGTTGATATAGTAACAATCATCCTCAAGCTTCTTCTTCAGAACTTCAGGGATTTCTATAGTAATTGTTCTTTCTTCCATTTCCCTTCTTATGTGCAGCTCAGGTTCTTCCTTCTGCAAAATCAAAATTCCATGTTCACGTATTTAAAATAGTAGGAGAATCTATAGTCAATGCAAAGTGAATGTGTGGGGGCCTGCTGCAAACCACGCCAGTTAACCCTCCACGTTTACCCCAGTGATGAGGTGGTATGTGCCAGTGACCAGCACATTAAAGGCCGAAAGTGAACTTGCTGGAGGGCCTTCGCCACATTGCAAATACCCCTTTCCATTCCTTCCCCATGTCAGTTTAACAGTGGGATTTGTGTACTTTGAGGGCAGGCAGAAGATGCCAAGCTCTGAAAAGCAACATTTAAAAATGAATCACCAGGATAAAAATAAAGCACACAGTTTCACTGGAAACAAAGTAGCTAGGATTTGCTGAAACATTTTCTGGCCTAAAGAGCCATCATAGATACAGTGACTATAAATAGGGGCTCTTTTCCCTTAAATATCAAGGACAACTTTACAGCATTTGCTTTAAAAATACAGTTTTACATTTAAAAAATGATGCTAAAAATACAGTTTTACAAAATGATTCAAAGCAGTGAATTTTACCATTAAAAAAAGACCAACGTGTTTTTATAATTAAAACTTTATACCACTCCAGTTTTGTCTTCAATATCACTCTCTTCGCTTATTTCTTCATCCTTTTCTTCACTACTGTCTTCAGAGGAGCTGCTTATTGCTAGGTAAAACAAAACATCAGGCCAAGCTGCAGTATGGACACCCCCAGTCCTCATACCGCCCACTCCTGGAGGCGGACTATCTTCTATGCTGGTAATAGGACCCGCGGGCCGGCATATATGGTAAATGCTGAAGACAAATACACCCTTCAGAATGGAAATTTATTTTGAAAACTGTAACACCAACTCTAGCGGTCAGTGTTTCGTCACCTAAGACCCATGTTGCCCCTGCAGTTCCCAAGGGGACAAGAACCAGGAAATGACGAGGAAACCTGGGTGTGGTGCGCCACGAGTTAGTGCTTAGAAACTGGCCACGGTGGCAGCGGTCCAGAGCATGATAGGACAGGTCTAACAATGGGCTCAGTGCCTTCAAGTGTCAAAGGCAGAAAAGGCAAAAGTTCTAGGGAATGAGTTGAAAAGAGTCTCAATCCAGAATTTCAACAAAATCGCCCCCTCAACCCTGTAGTATGAGAGCTATGGAAAAGATTTTTAGCCCAAGAAGGTGACGTCAAACCACTCACAATTTTTGTCATTTTCACCTCTTTCTTCAATGGGGAGGCTTTTTAAGACAGAGTCGACACCGGGCAACCTGCAGCGTTTCTTCTTTCTTCCAGTGCTTCTGAAAAAGATAAACAATGGAAATCAATGTTGATGGCGATGAAGGTGGGTCTGCAAATAAAACAAGATACAATGGCAATTCCTAAGTAAAGTACCAGAGAAATAAACTTTAGCAGAATAAAAATGGTAACGTTTAAGAAACATTATAAATAACCTCTCTGAAAACAGCAATTATTTGGAATACACTCTTCACCCACTTGCTATATAAAACATTACTTAATAAACCATGTTTGTCATAGTATATCATAGAAATTCTAAACAGTAAGACCAAACACGAGGAGTAACATTTATGTTATGAGTTTCATATTCTTACAGGCGAGCTACAGCTTTCCTTGCCAATTTTCGCTGTAATCTCCGGTTTTCCTCAGTGTCACGGAGGACATGATCTTCAGCTGCCCATCTATCCCAGCTATTCAACAAAAAAGGAAAAAGAATGTAAAATTCCCTATTTTAGTTTGTTAGGAACAAATGCTAAAAGCCCATCCCAGGAACAGATTAAGTCCTAGAACTAATCACATTTTAAACAGAGAGAGATTTAAATATCTTCAAATCACAAAAAGGATAAAAATAAATTGAAAAAGGAACTCATTCAGACAAAGAAATAACTAGTTTCCAGGATGACTCTTACATTCAGATATAACCGACTTAAAGGTAATCATTCTCTAGGATAGGCAAGGTTTGATAACAAAGCAAGAAACAGGAAATGAAGCTGTTCTACAATTGTTTCTAAAACTTAGAACAAGTTTGCAATGTCTCTGTGAAGTAAGGGTGATCGGTATTCACTGATTTAAGAAGTACTCACCTTCTGTTCCAACCATTAAAATGGATCAGATATTCTGGGATCTTTCTGCCTTTTTCGTCTTTCCCAATAATAACATCGACAACCTGAAACCAGGAAATAATATACCCCAACGAGAGAAAACACAAAACACTAGAAACTAGATCAGGGAAACTGAAGCGAGGACTTTTTTTTTTTTTTCTGTAAAAAAAAACTAAGCATTCTCCACTTTCTCAGACCGAGTGCTGGTTTGAAACATTTTTCCTTTCAATTCCATTTTTTTTTCCCTTGAGTGGATGCCTCAAAATAGGAAACATGCCTCCAACCATCCGGTGATTGGTTTCTGAACGTGAGAGCCAAGGAGAGTTCGGCAGCCATTGGCGGGCTCGTCTGTCACTAAGAGAGTCCAGGCCACACAAGAGAGCCGCTGCCGAGTCATCTGGGAGTTGTAGTCTCCCGGGCTCTGCCGTGTCCAGGGCTAGGCTAGCTGGAGGATGACGCCATCCCGCCCAGCCATCCCGCCCAGCGGTGTCCCCTGTGGGACCATCTGGGGCAAATGATGGGGCGTGTCACTCCCGGGGAGACCTAGGCAGGGAGGGAGGAGAGCAAACAAAACGAGACCCGGGCTGCGGGGGCGGAGCCCCAAACAGCCCTGCAGCTTCTGGAAGACCCCCAACGGGCAGGGCAGCACCACCAGAAGCACGTTGGGCCTAGGGCCGCAGTCACACTCCCGCTCCCGGATTTCGATGTCCACCCCCTCCGGCCAAGCAGACCTGACTGCAGAGATGGCTGGGACCCAGAGGGGAGGGTTACAGGCTGAGCGGCCCCGGACCCGACTCGGGGGTTAAAAACCTAAGGGCTGCCAGGCCTAGGCAGAGGAAGGCACTGGTCAGCCTTGCTGTCGGGGTGGGGATCGCGGCTGACTGGATGGGTCAGGCCGGGGTCAGACACTACAGAACCCCAAGAAACGGCGTCGCGAACCAACGGCCAGCACTGTGACGCTATGGCTTAGGAACCTGGGTCGGCCGGGTCCCCCACGCGCCGCGGGGCCGCGCAGGATGAGCAGAGACTGAATGCTGAGGCGGAAACCGCCGGCGAGCGCCTCACAGAAGCGCTGCCCTGGCAGGCACCGCCTGCGAAAACCCAGTCAGCGGTCGCTGTCCAGGCTCGCGACACTTCGTCGCCAGGGAGGCGGCGGCGCACGCGCAGTCTGGCATCAGGGCGGAAGCGG